AAAGCGCGATAGGAATGCGTCGCGTCCCGTAAGATCGTACATAACTCCCCTTTGTCGCGCCCGTGCCGAACTTAACGTACGAGTGCGCTCCTGACGAGAGAGGAGGACTCGCGAAAGAGAACCGGACGAAACAAAAGGACACAGCGGCGGCGGTGGCGGACGGGGGTGAGAGAGCGCGCAGGGGCAGAAAATGATCGGGGGCAACGAAAACGGAAACAAAAGCGACGCGGGGCGATACGCAGTATGGCGACGCTTCCGGTTCGCTCACCGCACACAATGCACTCTCTCGTGTTAACTTCTGTGTGCCCCCCGGCCCTCTTCACGCCGCACGCCACCTTCCCCACCAATCCTTCGCATCTCTCGCACATTCTCGTATCTCTCACGTATCCTCTCTCAGCGAAAGGTATCCATCCCCGCGAAAATTCCGCGACTCTGATACGCGACTCCGACGTGTTACGCGAACCGCCGCGCCGTTAAGAGGGGTCGAGGTTGCGCTTCTTGTTACTTTCGACCTTTCGAGTACAATACATTTTAAGTATCCCTGAATCAATACTTTTAACGAATAATTGAAGGACGAGCTGCAACAGTGAAGCTAATCCATATTTTGTAAAAAACGGAGAAAATGACTTTAAAATTAAATGATAAATTTTAGAGTTTATTTTCTCTATCTTTATTTTCTCTACAAAACGTTGGCAAATATTAGTTAGCCCACTGTTGCAACCCTTTTTCGATCGTCCAATTTTTCTCGTGAGAAGTAATATTCTTACTTTATTACTTTATCTCGCGCAACAAAAAAAATTTAAATAATCATGCTTATCGCGCGATTGTAATCTTCGAAGCGTCCCAAATAATCGACACTGACGATTTCGGTATTAACAAATCTCTCCCGTCGACATTGACCGTACGAACCTTTCTGAAAATCCGAGCGCTATGGCATTATACGACATTTGACGCGAGTCTCTATGGTCTTTGATACGGCAGGCACTAGACGATATTAAAACAGACTGGAGCTTTTGCTGGGCACTGGCAAGGAAACGGATGCCTAACGTGCAGAGGGATGTTTTAAGAAATTAGTCCTCGTTGTTGTGAATCGCAGAATGACGATGATCCTACGGCTTCGTTTGACTTTCTCGTCGAGAGTGGCGCTATTAATTACTTGTATCGTCACAGTCAACGCCCTACCGTACGATAAAATAATACCCGTGTTAACGCTTTACCGCCTCGTGATTACCCTTTCGCAACTCGCGACGCGTGTCGAGCGTTATCAGTCGCAAAAGTTCGAAATGCATGTTCATCGAAAATATTGAAAAAACTAATAAATTAGAAATATGTAAAATATAAATATTAATGTATTTCCAATTCAATTTTAATCATCAAATCTAGTAAAATCAAAAGATATGACCATTCATTACCCAAACTAAATCCAATAGATACCGAGCGATAATGGCAATACTCACGCATTATATGTATAATCCCAATTTTCCGAACAAGCCGACACAGGACGAGCAAACGGTAGGAAGTCCTTGAATATCTGAAAAAATAATGGCAGTTATTATCGGGTGCTACAAAAACCGCCGCAAAGCTTTACAGAAGAATTACCTGAGTAGGAAACTCAAGGACAAACCTATATATTATACAACATTAGACTGAAAGAGGTGAAATCAAGGATTTCTATAGGTTTGCATTATTGCAAAACTGCCAAAAATTGACCTTGTGCAGGCTACATTGAATACAGTTTAAAACATTAATTCCTATTTCACCAAAGGAGTTACGGTAACAAATGTTTTAGAATGACAGCGGCAAGCTCAAAAGCGAAAAAAGATAAACGATTTGGTTTTCCCAGAACAATCGTGTAAAGTGCGTAAAATAAACATTTTCACATACGTGCGCAAACGCAAAACGTATAAAACACGCTGTTCATTTATTATCTCTCGCAAAATATATCCATTTTAATGGACTTCAAATTAGCGCGCTTGCATTATATGCGTTGTCCTCAATATACTGCGCGTTTTAAAGTGACTTCGTGTCCAAAGCGGATGTTTATTGGAGCACTCAAGCCAGAGTTTCGTCGATACTGAGACTGCACACTAGAGATTAAAAGCATTAAAACATTAAGTATCAATTTTGATCAAATTGATTTCTAATTATGTCTTCGAATGAAGATCAATTTAATAGATACATATATGTAATATTATTTCAGCTTTAAGTTATAATTGCGTTCTTAAAGACCGACAGTAATTGGCGCGCAGTTTGCGAGAATTGAAGTTTAAAAGGATATAAATATTACAAGAGATAAATAAATTAAAGATATATTAGTGGGCCACCAACATCTCGACCGCAGTTGGTTTTTTCCTCTTATTTTATTTTGTTATATATACATATATATCGGCCATTTTTTAAATAATTGTTAATTTCTAATGCTATAGAAAAATACTTTCCATAGTTACGAATAGACATAGATATTGTCTATATATGTATAGTCATAGATATTGATTTTAGAAGAACAAAAATATTTTCTACATGCTAATCTCTACTACTCAACTAAACAATTTAATGAGTTAATGTATTTTTTCTAATACATTTGAACTTTATTTTCTACGGATTTTCTGTCACCTTTGCGACATTTTACCAACTTTTAGTTATATTTCTGTTTTTTCGCGTGTAACAACGAAATCAAAATTCAAATACTAAAAATTGTACAAAGGACTCTCGAGAATGTAACAAATATAAATTATAATTGACAATGAGAGTTCGGAAATTAAAACTTGTTGAAAAATTACCAGTTTTGAAATCTGATATATGCTGTCATGTCGGCATCGAAAGTCGCTTAGGTCATTTTAGCAGCTTGATGGTGCGTATTATCACACATAAAAGAACTATCGATACACTTCATAACATAGAAAGTAACTCTTCTCAGGGTTTAAAAACATGAAAATTGTTGCCATAAATCAGAGTACATGATTTATGGCAGAGCATTGCCTAGAAAGATAAAGAATTTCTCTCTATTCAGAGTAATAGAAATTTTGTTACTCATTTATAACTCGGTCATTTAAATTAAGAAAGGTTTAAAATTTGAATACGCATCTCGTTTTATGTAAAAGTAAGGCAAAAGAATGACTGAAAGATCTGTAATAAATCTTTTGTAGTAACCCCTCAGTGTTCAATCCGTTATCCAATATATACAACATTACCCCCATCCCTCATTACCGATGTCGCATGACCTAATTGCACCTTTCCCGCGTTTTCTCTTTGGCCTTGTGAAAAATTTTAGTCGATATAATTTTAACAAGCGTCTCTGTTAATAATAACTAAGTAAATAACATAAACTTTTATAAACCATTGTTGAAATTTATACATATTTGTCTATTTGTATATGTATATACATTTTTTTCACAATTGATCGGGATCGAATAAAACAAAAGATAGATAAAAGCTTATACTTATTTTCTGAACTTCAAATAATATATTTTCAAATGTATATCATTATTCTAATTTTAATCACAAATAGAAAATTTTAGGATATAATTTTCAATTTCTTGGCAGCATTTTGAGAGGAGAGAGGGTCAATTTTTTCTTAACAAAATTGTTATCAACCATTTTTTAATTACATGCGATTAATTATAAACAGAAAATCCAATCTTAGACAATGCATATGAAAAAATTTATACTCATCAATATTATATAGATAAATGTACCAGATTGAGTTTTTTCGTTTTGTCAATCGTTATAGCAACTCTAATTTTCAAAGTCTTCAAACTCATTTATCTGTTATAATATTTATTTTACCGAGAAATTTTCTTTCAAAATTTGACAAGTTACAAATATGCTTGACATTAGATGATAAAATACATTTTACGTATTGCATTAGTAATTTTAATTTCATTTTCTTTCTTTAAAAAAAATATTTTAAAAAATTATATGTTTAAAATATTATTTACAACACATTTAATTTTTAAATAAAGAAATTTTAATACAAGTTTTAAAAAATGTTTTACATATTTTATATATATATATATATATATATATATAATTATATATATATTTATAATTATAAATTAATAATAAATATATATATATATATAATTACGTATATTATTTGTTAAAATAATTTATCTTTTTTACAATCATTTTATTATAAAAGATACAGATTTTGTAGAAATTCAATGCTATTTATAACACATAGTTATGAGATAATTTTTTACGAATTTTAATATATTCTAAAAAAATATGTATAAATCAATTAATCAATTTTCTTAAAATTAGCTAATGATAAAACTTTGCTCAAAAATAAGCTAAACTGCTAAAAAATATAATCAAAGAACATTCTTATATTAAAAAAAATCATACAGTTTATTATATCTTGAAAATAATCTCTTCCGTATTTTTTGAAGAATTCCGTATTTTATTTTGAGAATTATAAATAATTATGAGTGTAAAAGTGTCATTGGTTCATTGCTTGGGCAAGATGCATTAGTCTTGAAGGTAAGAAACGCGTGCAGCTGCCGGACCAGATCACTCGTGCGTGGTGAGATAGTTTGAACACGTGCGCGTGAGAATTTACGTCGTCACGTAAGCGTGGCGTAGGTGGCTCGGTTGGTGGAAAGGTAGTGACGAGGCCAGCATGACGAGGAGAACAGAACGTAAAGGCAGAGAGAACCGAGGAAGGGAGATAGATGAAGCGGGATAGAAAGAGACGGTAGGGTGAGAAGAAGCGAGAGGAGCGAAGAGATGGAGGGAGAAAGACGGAGAGAGGTCGAGTGGGTACGTTAAGGAAGAGCGGAGGCGCCAAGCCACCCTTCGCGCGAGCCAGGCGGCAGGCAGGCAGCCTTTCGCAAAGCACCCCCTAAGCCTGGTTAGGGGCGAAGGCGGCGAGCCGCGGAGGCCACAACACGACCGCCGTCCTCATTGGTCGACGCGCTTGCTCTGGGTGGGGCTCCGGAAAAATTGGAGGGGATAAAAATCCCCCCTAAATAGCTGCGGCTACGGCTGCGAAAAACTAGAATCCGCTCAGCCGGCATCGAGTGCGCGTCGGATTGCTGTAACATTTTACCAGTTCGTGGTACAAAGGTGCAATCGAAACAGAAATTCAAATCAGGAGCAACACAATGCAGATTCTTCGCTGAGAGAGACAGAGAGAGAGGGAGAGAGAGAGAGAGAGAAAGAGAGAGGGAGAAAGAGAGAAAGAGAGGGAGGAAGGAGTATAAAGAGATAATATGTGTCTATTATTATTCGTTCATATAATGATAACAGTGATAATAGTGAATAACGAAAAAAAACAGTGATCGATCGTGTTCACCAAAACAGTGTTTGCGCACAGAAGTTTGAATTTGATAGTTGAAAAAGTAATCAGACTTTTTCCTATTGGAATCAAAAGAATGCATATACGGGGTGATGCTTCGCTCTCCGTGGGAGCGGAGCTTAGATCGATCCAAGAAGTCCTCAAAAGATATCATGGAGACTTGGTAACGACAGGAAGCCCCACCATCATGTGTAGTTCGCTACCGACTCACTGGAGATCAAACAAGTCTCTTCCGGTGGCATTCAAGGTCATAGCTCTCGACGAAGTCGCGGACGGAACACAAGTTACCATCAAGGCTGGCAACGACGAGAACTGCTGTGGCGAACTGAGGAATTGCACGACGACCATGAAGAACCAGGTCGCCAAGTTCAACGATCTCAGATTCGTCGGTCGCAGCGGGAGAGGTGAGCTAAAGAAATCTGTCGATTCATACATGTACAAAGTCCCTCCGAGTGTCAACGAAACTTTAAGGAACGAACTTCGCTTTCGTTTACAGGAAAATCATTTTCTCTAACGATCCAGATCAACACAATGCCGTACCAAGTGGCCACGTATGCCAAAGCTATCAAGGTTACAGTAGACGGACCACGCGAACCGAGATCCAAGTCGAGTAAGTCGATAAACAAATAATCATATACTTTGACTTTCTATCGTAACTATTAGTAGCTCTTGTGACAGCTACTGTTATCAAAAAACAAAATCAAAACACAAAAGTTTTTACGCGATTTGTTATTTAATTATAACACATAATATTCTAAAATTTAAGTTTATGATAAAGCAATTATATAGATTGATTTAGAAAGTTTCGGAAAAGCTCTCGTAAAAAATTGTACAGACGGGGACACTAATGCCTTAACACTCGAAGTTGCGCGTATATCGAGCATGATCCAAATCAGAAACGCGTCTTCAGAGCGCGTTCCAATGAGAAACGCGTTCTTCTCTCATCGCGTAACTTCAAGTGTTAAAGCATTAGTGTCCCCGTTTGTACATAGATCTCATTCAAGACTAATATTCGAAATTTCACACTTAGACCGATATTCATAATCGGTTCTCGTTTTAAGAACCGTTTTAAGTGACGTCTTAAGATGCTAATACTGATAATGAGAGAGATACTAATAGTGATACGAAGAGATACTAATAATGAGAGAGGAAAAAAATTGGCAGTACTTAAGATTGTACTTAAGACGATCTTATAAGAATCAACTATGATTCCTCAATCTTTGCATAAACTCGCGAAAAAAATGCACCGATCACAAAATGCAGGTTCGACGATTCAATAAAGGGGAGGACACCGTACTCGGGTATGACATTGTTAGGAAGAGGGGGGAGGGGGTGGTATTCGACCGACGGGTCCGAAAGTCGTCGGAAGCTCCGTGACCACCGCGGAATCCGCAAACGGGCGTCGGGGCCTCGCGGGCGTTTAATAATCCGGCGTATATCTGGTGGACCTCAAACCGCGAGGTGGTGGCGGTGCCGCTGAACGGTGCCCGAGCCCTCGACACCGAGCGTTGGCTCGCACGTGCACGGGCGAGCGCGCGCACATGCACATGCCGCGCAAGAGCACATGCAGCACACACACGCACACGCAGCGTGCGACCGTACATACACAGGCGTACATACGGCGGGGGACCTGGCATCGTGTCAAGCCGCGAGAACGAGGTCTTCGCCGGCGGCACGGCTCTTTAGCTAGCCGCGTTTATTTTCCCCGAAACGCCGCCGCGCCGCCGGTTGGTCGTCGGTTGGCCCACTAAGTCAAACTGTTTATTGGTTCGGCACTCGGGGCGGGTAGAGGGGAAAGAAGACGGCAGGAGAGGACGCGGGAGATGATGGTTGTAACTGGCGGGGCGGCGAAGGCGACCGGGGAAAGATATAGACGTCTGCAAAAGAAGCCGCGTTTACGCGTTTGTTTATCGCACCGCATATGGCGGTAGCATGTGCCGCGCCACGAAAACCCGCGCCACGTCGTAATAACGGATTTTATGCCACGCTCGTATAAACATGAGATACACACTAGCTCGCTCCTCCGGATCGCCCCCGGAGGAAGCGCCGTTAATCTTCGCTTTTATAGATCTTGGGTGGCCGAGTTCCTTCTTCCTGGAGGCGTTTGTCAGTTCGTTATCCGCGAGATTTCATTCTTCTTAGTACAAGATCTTTTTGTAATGCCTTTATATGTCTCTTTTCTCGCGAATTTTATAACGCGCAGCCGCAACATAGACTGCAAGAGAATCTCGGTGGATCGTAAAATTCCGAATGTTAGTCGAGGTGCGTAGACCGAAAGAAACGATGAAATCTATTTTCAAACGCTCGAATCTGGACGTTAGCGCATGTTTATATAATCAAGCACTTCCGATTTATTTTACAGATTATCAGTATAGCACCAATTTCGCTGGAATTCCTGCTATATTTACCAATCCCTGGATGGATCCCATATACTTTGGATCAACTTGGCACTCTTTGTCGCATCCAGCTGCTTTAATTAAAGGTAAAAATATTGCGATTTCGTCGCGTTCGAAAGAGAAAGAAAGAAAATTGAGCGGGAGAAAAAATATTTCACACCTCTATATGTATCGCGAAATGTGAAAAAAAAGTCTTAAAAGAGAGTCCGCGCTCACGAGAGAGAATCCGCGTTATCGATTTCGTCGAGTCCGCGACGCCTGCCGATGATTCATACTCCGTGAGCTGGACCGAGGGGTGAGTCTGAGCTCTCTTTTCCCACAGCGGACCCCTCTCTATGGTCCCCTCGTCTCCCGCTTTTCCCGTAGCCATACGTACATCCCTTTCGTCGTTGAAACAACAATGCGACTTACTACTATACGCTCGCCCCCGCGAAACGGACGACCGAGATTAACCGATTCTTTCTTCCTCCAGGAACGGTGCCACCCCACGATTTATTCAATCCGGCCTTCTCGTCAATTTTGCCATGTCCGTTTGAATATAATGTGAATTATCCCGAGTACGCGGCGTTGATGACCAATGCATCGACGGCGAACGCGATGTCGTCGGTTCTGACATCGCTCGCGCCGAGTCCGTCCAGAACACCGCCCAGCCCGAGTGAATCTGGTAGCGGCGAGTCCGCGACCGAAGAGGTGCGAAGTGCCTTCGTGCCTCTTCGACACAACACCTTGCCGCCGAGCACGTCGTCGTCGTCGTCGTCGCCAGACAGAAATGCCAAAAGACAAATCGAGGGCACGAGAAACGAATTGAAGGCGCCCACCGCGCTCATATCCCACAAATTATCGTCCTCGCAGAGGAGTCCGTCGCCGACGAAAATCACGCCGCCGTCTACGAAAGCAGTCGTCTGGAGGCCGTATTAGAAATTGTAGATCCACGATAGCAAGGTCTCGAAAAATATCGTGAAAGAAGGCTAGTGAAAACCGCCATGGTAGACGAAAAAAATTAATAATAAATTATTATATGATGTATATTATATAATGTATATGTATATTGATATAGGTATATATATATATAATGTTTGAAAAAATTAATAATTAATTCCTACGAATTAATGTTTGAAAAAATTAATAATTAATTCCTACGAATTAATTACATTAATTTTTTCGAAAAAATTTTTTAAACTTACGAGTTTTATGAATGAATCAAAATGTCAAATATGCGATAAATTTTACAAATTTGATGCATTCATAAACAATTCAATTTTCTTTGTAATAATCCAATTTCCAGATATTCCAAGAGTTACTTGTCGAAGACACTTCGTCTACCATTGCGGACACGTGTTTTAAGTTTTACAAAAAATTCACGATGAATTTTATAAATTTCACTAAATTAAAATTATAAAATTCTCGATGAATTTTATAAATTTGAACAAATGTAATACGAATTGTTTATATATCGTGTAAATAGTTCGTGGACAATAAAATAGTTACAGAGAAATAAAAGATTTATCTACATTTTGTGTGTTCACGGAAGTACACGTATAAATGTGTGAAGGGCTGGAAGAGAAGAGAGAGAGAGAGAGAGAGAGAGAGAGAGAGCAAGAGACCAAAAAATATTGATATTATTTGTAAGGCCAGAGTTTTAATGTAAATAGATGGTAGCGATGCAACGAGATGAATAAAACCGAAAAAAATTCACGTAAGAAAATTTAAGCAGTCTGTCACATTTAATCACACCTTTTCAGCACACCCTTAAAGTTGAATTTAACCGATCGATCACTATTATATATCCCTAAGAATGATCGATATCGCCGCGCGCGAGATCTATTTTCAAAAGTGTCAAAGAAGTGTCGTCGAGCAGCCCGGGCGTTCGCGAATAGAAAGGAAGGATATGAAAGAGAGCGGAACGTCGCCAGCGCTCGACGTGCTGCTGCAAGGGGAATCCATATTTTTTTTGTCGCGATTTAAATCTGAATGGTCCGTACCGTCGCGCAATCGTTCCGTCTCTTTCGTGTGTGCGTAAGGGATCCCATACGGCGAGAGCACAAGGGTGGAGAATGGTTTATATCGAGGGGAGTGCGTGAGATCTGTATTAGTACCTATAGGATCGGGACATCAGCGGTTCTCAGGTCTCTCGAGCTGTAAAATCCTGGCGGCGGGTCTCTCAGTGGTTCTTTGGCGTTATGGGATTCGGCAGAATTCACGGACGGACTGTTCGCGGGGAGACGCGATTTTACGCGAATAATTACACGCACTTAATTTCACGCCGCGTAAAAACGTTGAACGTACGTGTTGTACGCAACCGCCGGCTGCCGCCGCGCCGAGAGGGGATTCGGCTCATTCGACGAGATGTCGCATGACGCGAAAATGTCCGTCGGGACTGCGTGCTGCATCACGCTGAAACACGACCTGGGGTAAGGGATAGTTTTTTTTCTGAATTGTTCCGGTCGTGTTTGTCAACTGGTGCACAGAGTACGAGCGCAGTTAATCTCGGTGACGTCGAATAACTCAATTCTCGCATTCCGGTTGCAGGTGCGACGTGTTACGCGCGCGCCTCCTCTCCCCCGATATATACCTTCGGATCGAAAGCGCTGTGCAGCGAAAAATTCGATACGCGGGCGTGTAACGTACTGCTCGGCGCGGATGTAAAATCTTGATCAGACCGCCTTGATTAAAAATCGCGATCGAAATGCGTGCGCGCTCGAAATTACAAAAAAGTGACTGTAGATCGACTAGCCCGTGCAGCTTGGCGCGATCTCGCAGAGCTTTCGCGCCGCGCTTAATGGGATTAATCCCCGGGCGAGAAAATGAGAACCGCGTTGACACCCCGTAACCCGTGGGGCCGTTCGTTGACGAGTAGACAACGGAACCAAGCAACCATGAAGGGTCACCGCATCAACCGAGGCGAGCCGATCCAAGCCAATCCGTCGCGCGAGCCAGCCGGCGCTAACTAATGTTTGCTCAAAGAATCGTCATGTATAATTGAGTCAGCCGCGGCATGGGATGGAAAAAATCAACGGGCGGACGTGCGGATCCCCCGAGCTGAATAATCGACTTTCGGTATATACAGACTTCCCACTCGCGATTTCGAAACAAACCGCTCTTATTAGGCGAAAACTGTTTGGTATTTTACGTGCTGCAACGTCGAGCCGTCGGCGTTTTCGACCTCGCGATCTCACAATTAGTATAAACGGAGGGAGAATTAATATTTTTCGAAATAACTGCGTTAATTGCAGCGACAAAATTTACATATATTCGCGAAAAGTTTGGTTACATAATAATTCACATTTCGCGTGCGCTCTCTGTTTTATCGAATATAAAAGATTCACGGCGCCAAGTTAAAAGTTTCATTTCAAATACAAAATCAAATTTGTCTCAATCATTCTATGTAATGAATGAAGCCTATGTAATGAAGGAAGTCCGAAGTAAATAGAATTATTTTAACTATTCCAATTAATCAAACGGAGATCGATAGAGGATCGACGAGAGAACTTTGGAGCGAGCGGATTGAAGTATATAATGCGACGCGGAAGGAGCGGTTGATTCGCTTCGTCGACACGCCAGAGGACGTCGATCCTCTTCGCCAGTCTAGAATCGTGAGGACCCGGGGGTTTGAGGGTCCTAGAGTTAGGCAATCAGCGTTGATGAGGGGGCCAGGTCGAGGGGCGAAGAGCTCGGACAATTAGTAGGTACCCCGCCCACACTCTCTCTCTCGCCTGTGTGTCGCTCTCGCCCCGGTTCACCTGCCCAACAACGCACCCGACCGCAGGCGCTACGCATGCGAAAGAGGCTGCCGGACGCGGGGCTGGGAACGCTTCGTTTACGTAGATCGCGTTGTACGCACTGGATTACGCGCTCGTACAGGTCTCTTCACGGTTGCGGAGGCAGTGTCAACGCGATCGGTCGAGGCAAATCGGCGAACCGAGACCGCCCCCCCCCCCTCGTCTCTCCCCCGTGCTTCCGCCGATAATACACGGTCGCTGTTCGCGAAAAACCAGACGAGCCGTGCTTTGCCACGAAAATGTGAAATATATTTATATCGCAGAAATTCATACGTTCAGAGAAATTCCAGAGATTGCAATATTTGAAAAGAATAATATACAATTTACAATTTCGATGTAAAGCGAATATATAGTTTTCGATTTCTCTATTTTTTATGATTTTTTCAATAATTGAATAATAATCGAATTTTCAGAGCGAGCAACACTGACAACGAGAGATCTTTTCGAAAGATACCGAGAGCATTGCAACGCAACAGTATAACAAGAAAAAAATAAACAAAAGACCTCCCGTACAACTGCTCAAAGAATCCTCACTGATCTTCTCTAGCGTTCTTCTCTAATTGTTCTTCTGATGAAACGTGTCGAGGATTACACGGTGTTTCACAAAAGTCCAGAGAAGGCTCTGTACAGTGGGAAATCGTGGAAATAATAAGCCTCTTTCGACAGATATTCGCAACGACAGTGAAGACGGGATTCTCATCCCTCTTCCCCTCGACGACTCGGGGAGAATCGTCGTCGTCTTCGAGAGGCGTTCCGTTCTTCGAACTTAACGTCTTTTGCCTCGTGGCCGCCCGAGGGCGAAGGTAAAGGCGAAAGCGCGGCGTCGCGCGACCTTAGGAAAAACGTTTAACGAGCTGTTTTGCATCGCAATGCCCCGACCTCGTTATCGGTTATCGACCCGCTCGCGGCTGCTGTCGCGGATTAAAGAGTACCTGCCCCCGCAGTGTCACGTGTACGTCAGCGTAGTGCGTTCACGCACACGCTCGCTCCGTCGAGGCGCTCCGCGCCGTTTAATCGTCGATTGGCACAGCGGGGGAGAGAAAGAGAGAGACAGAGAGAGAGCCGTTGAAAAGGCGAATTGTTTCGCGGAAACCACCGATTTTCAGGCCGTGTACGCCGCTAAATCGGCGCGGCGCGCCGCGCCGCGCCGCTCCGCGCCGTCGTTTCGCGGAACGCGGATCGATCTTTCCGCATTTGTTTCCGAGAGGAAACTTGTTTTTCGCTCGTAGAACGGGCCCGCCACGCGCTTTTGTTCCTTTGCGTGTCGAAATTTTTCACTTGCTCCGACCAGTCACGCAATCAAAAATTTCTTTTCTTCGGCGTTTTTTCATTAGCAATAGGTATCGCGATACTATGAATACTGAATGTACCTTAGATCTTAAGAACGCTGTAAAAAGCGAAAAATCGAAAAATTCTGTCGCACCATACCATTTACTACACAATTTTACAATCGTATTTAAGTGTTTGTCAGTACACAATTGTATTTACAAATAATTTGACTTATAAAATTAATTTTGTGAGTAATTCTTAAAGAAAAAATTTTATTTGACAAATTAAAATGCACTGAACAGAGCAAATCTTCAGTTGTGATTTTGTACATAGACAATTTATCTTCAACTGTCAGTTTTACGATGGAACGTAGTCTTCGACCTATGTCAGAAAACGACATAATAAAGATCACTACCTGGGTAACTTTAGGTAAAAGACGGTAAAATTGATGTTCGTCGAAAGAAAAGCCAAAGGAAGATGTTTAAGGTAAGAGTAACACTTAAAAGTTGCAAAAACTTGTTGTAGGTCAAAATTTATAAAAAAAGTAATGGCTTTTTTGAGAATAAGAGCATTTATTCGGGCCTATAATTTTTTCGAGTTGCAACTTTCATTGCAAACTTTCACCCAAATGACACGTGCTTGGAATTAAGTTGCTCGAATACGAAATTTCACGTTACGCTGACCTGTTTCAAAATCCACGAAATCGGTTCACCAATCAAATTCGTAGGTAGATAAGTTCCGAAACGTACGTTCAAGCCGGACCCTCGGTTTCTTTTTGCGAGGGTCCACCCAGCTTCCATCCAACGGCAGAACGGAACTCATCAGTCCGGGAGGAAGTGGACACGTCGGAACAATTTCCTTACACCGTCTCTCCTTCCACCGTCCTGGCACAACCCGACACCACCCCCTCGGACCAGCAGCCTCATTTCTACCCCGTCATCGCAGCCGCTACTGAAATTCTGACCCCTCAACGATTGACCAATTTGCCAAATCGATTCACATCGAAATGAA